AGATCCTATCTCCGTCTTCCACCCAGTCCAGAGCTCCGCAAAAGCGAGCAGCAGTCTCCCTTCCCGCACCTGCCCCCACCCCCAGAGACTTCCTACTGCGACTTGCGATTGAGCGCATCTACCCTCCCCGCTCATCTTTAATTTCTTTATCGATCTTCATTAAACTCTCCCTTTGGCTCCAGGACAAAGTGAACCAACTCATTTCACACAAAAACGGGGAGGGTGAGGGTATAAAAATAAAAGAATATTCTCCTCAAAGTGAGACTGTCTCTTGTCGAAGGCCGGAAGAGTCATTTCTAGAACAGTCTAGTGAGCTGGCTAAAGTTGGTTGAGCACTGGGTTTTGAAGGTCCCCTGCTCCTTCTGGCCTTAGACCTAAGGCATGTTTCTGTTCTGCATGTAGCCCGCTCCTCGTCTTGATCACATCCTCAGTTCTGATCCTCTTTGGTCCCATTCTTTGAGCCCTCACTTCCGTCAGTCCACTAGGAACTATTGGATCTCTACTAGGGCTTTTGCAAAACCCTCAGCACCCAGTCTCCTTAGAGGACATCACACAGTCTCCCCGGGCCACCCTGTGGAGACAAAAAAGCTAGATGCAGCCAGGATATGCCCCATTCTCAGGTACCAATTAGAGACCCATCACATGGCTACTCTCTGACAAGGGAGGTACCACTTCATTGCGTGGAAGGCAAAGCCAAAGATGGGAGGGAAGTAATTAGCTCCTTGGGACACTCTCTTCCTCCCCAAACCCTGCAGTCCTTGGCAATGCCACTCTGCCTTGCTGGCCTTTCAGGAACTTCAGCAGAGTTTGGTGCATCTGCTCTCACCGAGCTGTGTGACTTTGAGGCCCTCACCCCATCATTCTGGGCTCTGGGTCGTCTTGCTTCAGCCATCTCCCAAGTGTGGTACTGAGAACACGAGCATCTCTCTGGGCTCCCCTGATTCACTGAACGGAGCTCATTGGAGACACAAAACCTCAGGGTCCTTTGTATCTCCTAAGACTGCTGTCCCCTGTCTGCCATCAAGTACTTCTATACGCCTACTGTGACCAGGTCTGCACGGACTCTTCGGTTCTCTTTCTCCAGGAGTTCTGAAAGGAGGGAGCATCCTCCGAGGTCACAGGCCAGCCTCCCTGCTCTACCTGTATTTCTGGGCTCTCCATGCCTGGTCTTTGGAACAAGCTGCTCACCTCCTCCGTGGAGTGTAGCACAGGACAAGTGAGTGCAGGATGACTGCCTGCCGAGGACAAAGGAAAAGCATAGCTAACTTCTAAAAGTGTGCTGATCCTGGGTACCAAAACAGCATGGAGCCTGGGGCTGCCTAAACTAGACCTCTACAGGGAAGACCCCTTTGGGCATTGCCAGAGAGAGCTATGGGTGTTCACAGTTTATCTCTTCCCACTCTGCCCCCTCCCCTCACCAACACCTTGAGCCTAGACCCAAAGGAGCCATTGCCCTGTGATCCCCATATGCGAAGGGCCAGATCTGTGGCAAAGAAAGAGCCTGGGGTTTGGAACAAGCCAGGGATGTATGTCAGTGCTGCGCATGTCCACCATTATCTCCCCATCTGTGAAGTGGGAAGGGAAGGCTGGTGCTCCAGTCCCACCCAGATGCTCCACGCTGGACCCCATCACCTCCCCTCTGAGGATAGCCCTCCCTCTTAGGCTAGACCACTTCCTCCTAGAGACAATAACCTTCCAGAGCCCAGTCTTTCCCAAAGCCCTTGCCGTGAACACTGCCCTGATTGCAGTCATGAGACCAGGACTCAGTTCCACTGTGAACTAACTGCTATATGTATAACAGTCCCATGAGATTTGAATGTATCCATTTATCAGGAAGGTGTGTCCAAGAGGCTCATGAAGTTCCCTGGCATAACTTGTGGGTTTTCAAAGCTCGTAGTGTGGAGACTCAGGGGCAGCCTGCCTCTCAAAGTCCTCAGGGCTCGGCTGCACTGGAGAGATGGCTTCCCAACAGACACGTGATGAAAGCAGGAGTCTGCAGAGTGAGCGATGGACAGCGTGAAGGAGCAAGCAAGCGGGTTTAGAAGTGGGTGACTGACAGCCAGAAGGAAGAAGCAGCAGTAAGCGGCTTAAAGTGAGTGATTGCGTGTGGCCAAGTATTCATCATTGCCTTGGGGATCTGACTTGGAGGAGAGGAATGCCCATCACGTCTTTTCCTTTTGTGGTAGGGGCTAAGGGATCTGGGTTAAGTCACAGACATGTTATTAGTATTCTCAGAGTATCCATGAAGCAAGCAAGGCAGGGATGATGCGTGACTTTGGAATTAAGACTTAAATCCTGCCTGCAACACTTGCTAATGATATGATTTCTGTTTGCTTGCTTGCTTGCTTGTTTACTTGCTTGCTTGTTTTGAGACAGGGTTTCTCTGCGTAGATCTGGCTGTACTGGAATTTGTTCTGTAGACCAGGCTGGCCTCAAATTTGGAGATTTGCTTACCTCTGTCCCTAAAGTACTGGGATTAAAGGCATGTGCCACCACCACCTGGTGTGATGATGTGAGTTTTGATAAGTCACAAAAACCGTCTGGGAAACTTGTTGCCTGTAAGCGGGAGCTGTTTACAGAGCTGGGCTCCTAAGTCACTGGTGATACTGAAGGCAGTGTGCACTGGAGTGGTTAGGATTCCGTGTATATTCTCACTGATGAGCATCCCTTCTCCTCACCTTCAGAGAGCAAACATGCTCTTCAACCAGCCCAGCCCTGGAAAAGATGAGCTGAACCACCCTATCTTCTGTGAGCAGCGTCAGATGGGCGCAGTGAACTGCCTCCTGTTTTTATGGCTGCAGCTTTCAACTCCAACTTGAAAGGGCTGCCGAGTTTCTTGCTTGGTTTCTTCCTACCAACCCAAAAGCTCACTGAAGTCAAGGAACTGACTGTTTTGGATGGGATGGTGATACCAACCCCCCTACTTTTTCCTCTATGTTCCCTACCATGCCAGAATGAAAGAGGATGAGAAACAAACCTCATTTGGCCATTTGGTCAACATCCAAGAAAGATTTACAGGAGCTAGGATGGTGGTGGATTAGGAAGCACATAAGCTTAGCATGCTTAACCCATTTCCTTCATTGAGTTTGCCTGTCTGGTCACCATGCAAACCAGTGCACGCACAAACACACTGTGTGTACATGTTCAGACAAAGCACTGGGAAGGAGAGAATGATAGCCAGTTTAGTCTTGGAAGATCTAGGGTTTGCTCTGAGCTCTTCCACAACCTTAGCTGTAAGTCCTTAAGCAAGTAGTTTCCCTCCTCCAAACCCATTTGTTTGTCACGTAGCAGGACCAAGGCATGAACACCTTTAACCTCCAGACAGATTACCTCCCATTCAGGGCTCTTGGCATACCATGAGGGACAAAAACTTCTAGCCAAGTGGAAAGGAAGCATTCTGCTCAAAGAAGCACCAGCTTCTCTGCTCTCTTGCTGTGTGGCCTTACACATTAGGAGCTGGAAAAGAAGCGGACTCACTATTCATCCTCCACCTTGACTAAGAAGAACACTCTCTACTCCTCTGCCTGGTCATAGGAATGGATTTGGACAGAGGCAGGGTGGGAAGGCAAGTGACTGGCTGACTTAGAGTCTAGACCTAAGCCACGAAACTGGGGAAAGGTTGGGGTCACCTGGATGGGTGGGCTCAGGCTATGGGACATAGTGTGAAGGAAGGAGGGCTGTTCTTCCCCCCAGAAAGACTCTCTGGAATGGATGCAGAGCACCCCAAATCCCACAGTCACCACAGCTATTCTGAGACACATTGGGCTTTAAGCCACAAGAATGTTCACCATACTTCCTTCAACAATTTGAAGAACACCCCGAATATCAGTTCAGCCTTTCTAGCTCTCCAAGCTAGCATCCTTAGGAATGACATATCTGAAGGGACTCTAAGCATTATCAGGGCCAAGTGACAGACCATCTGTAGACCCAGACCTACAACCTGGCCAGGGGTTCAGAGTACCTGAGGTTAGATTACCCCAGCTTAGACTGACACAGAAGCGCCTAGGACCTCCAAAGCACCAAATTCGCTATGTGACCCCCACACTGCCCTGGGACACACTGGTCCAGCAAGCCCTTGGAATGGTTCCAGTTCCCCTCCCCAAGCTGTACAGCTCTTGATGGAGTAGAGCCGTCCCTGCTTACCTAGACACCTGCGATGGTTTATCTTGATTGTCAGTTTGATTGACTGATGTGACATCTAGAAGATTGGTAACGCCTACCTCTGGGTGTGTCTATAAGTGAGTTTCCAGAGATGATTGGCACATGGAACTGGTAATGAAGACCTAAATGCAGATAGTGGCGTCCCACAGGTCAAGACCCAGAGGGAATGAGAGCAAAAGCCAAAAGGGCCTCTCTTTCCCGCCCCCACCTTTCTCACTTCATGGGGGCTACTACCATAACATAATACATAATAAAGAAACCAATCTTACCCTTTCCTCTACCACTGTGATACATTGCCTACCTCAGGCCCAGTGTAATGGATCCCATCAACCTCGTACTGAAACTAAGAACCAAATTAAACCCAAATTCCCCTTAACCCAGTCTTCCCAAATATTTTGCTGCAAGGACGGGATACTGACTGGCACGGTACTCAGTGGCAGTTTCCCTTGCCACTTTCACCCGTCACTGGTCTGGATCCACTTCCTCTGAAATCCTGACATGAAAGGACCAACCATCCCAAACTCTGAAACCACTCTTTACCAGCTTTCCTACCAGGACCTTGTTCGTCTCACACAGCGGACTCTCTTGATCTGTCACCCAACCCTGAAAATGCTTAGTTTCCCTTCAGATCTGTCGTTCCTGGTTAGACTCCAGGGCCTCTTTCCCCTTCATTTCATGAAATCCCACAGTCAAATTCCCTAATAGTTCCATCTGAAAAGGGTCTGGCAGAAAAGGGGGCTTAGGTTGAACTTGCTACAAGAAGAGGACCAAATGCCATTACCAGGCTCCCAACACCAGTCGGCTCAGAGGCGTCAGCCCGTTGAGACCACTGCCCTTACCTTCTCCAACTGATGGACACCTTCTTCTACACAGCAGATAGAGGCCAGTGTGCGGAGCGCCTGGGGGTACACGCACCGGAAGCTGTCCTGCCGGCAGACCTTGAAGAGGGCTACAACTCCACCTTCCTGTGAAGAAGAGAATATGGCATGATCTTACCGGGTGATCTTCCCTGGACTGACTCAATAAGAGCTGACAGTCCTCACTCGGCAGACATGATTTGGGGTATTCCTTACACACACTTAGACAACGATGTCCATATCCCCAATAGTACCAGTTGGAAAAGGGATTCCCTAGATGCATCTCCGATTTGGGGACCAGCAACAGACATTTTGGTGGGGTTGAGGATCCAGATCCTTCTGCTCAGCCCTCAGAATGGCCTTGTTGACTGGTAGGAAGCTGATAAAGGGACAGAGTCTGGGGATTCAGTGTCTGTTCCCACTCCATCAACCACCATGCTTCTCCTTGCTCTTTCCCATGCCAAGGAAAGCAGGCAGAAAAGGTTTGTATCAGGTCTGTTAATCATTCCCACTGTACGATGGGGGAAAAATTACTAAAGGCCAGATGGGGAAAGCGATTCCCCCCAAGTCCATGCCAGCCTCACTCCTGCTTGCAGAAGGAGAGAACTGCTTTCAGGACGCCCATGCAGCTCTTGGGTGTGAGTCCTTTATATTTGGTAGGAATGGGATCACCTTTCTCTCACCTCATGGAGACCGCCCAACAGAGTATGCACCGCCCCCCGTGGAATCTGGGCATAAGAAGCATTCTGTAACCATCACCGTGGTCCTCCCATGTTCAGAGTGAGAGCACGCACAGACCATACAGGAACACACCACAGTACTCACAGACCAACAACAACACTACCTTGTGAATGCAGAGCAAAAGTTGGTGACCCCCCTCTGGCTTTGCCTCCTCCATCTCTATCCCCCTTTCCAAGGGCTAGAAGGCACTTAGACGTGGCATCGCGTGAACAAGGGATCTGAGCACTCAGGGCAGTCACTTTTAACCTCATCCATCACTCCTACGTCTAACTATCCTAGCACCTGTTCCAAGAATCAAGCAAAATAGAGATGAGTTCAGCAAAATACTATCCCAGGTCCGATTTTTTGATAATATACCATAAGTAGATTAGGAAGCTACCATGTACTGCATCACATACTGGGGATGCAGCCTTGACTCACTGAAAGGCTAATGAATGAGCATCTTCAGAGGAAGCAAAGACCACTGCAGCCCAGCACAACTTTACTGAAACAACCTCAGATCTTCCTCTCCTCCACTCCAAGCAGGAGCTCGGGAGCTCTTCTTGCTCTAAGAGTTTCGCCCCTGACCACTGATGGGCTCAAGATGAATTGTCCAATTCAGAGAGAGGGTATTTACTAACACCTAATGTTTCATCGATTCCAGCTAACATTGACTACAAACTTTTATACCTCATCTTCCTCCTGGGGTGGTTGCTTTGGTGGGTAAGAGCTAGGCAAAAGCATTCATGCATTCAAAATATAGTCGTTTAGTGTGTGCTAGACACTGCCATGGTCCTGGTTCATACTGAACTCATGGTTTGGCAGGAAGAGCAGACAGTTCTAAAAGCAAGAACAAAGCTGGACAGAGAAAGAAAAGAAGGCGAACATGAGGCAGTTCTGGAGCACAGAGCAGGAGCCCCTTCATCTGGGAAGGGTCTGTAGAGTGGCAAGAGAAGGTCTCTGGTTTCAAATGCATATTATTCTTAGAATGCATGTTAATATTATGAATTTTAATATTATTAGAATTATTATTAGGAAAGATGCTCACCCCTTTGATCCCTTGATCTATAACTCTTTACCCTGCTTTCTGATTTTCTCATGGCACATCTGTTAGTTCCACGTACAGATCGCCCTTAGACAGCAAAGCACAGTCAAGTGACAGAAACAGAAGTGCAGGAGTTGTAAGCTGTTTCTGCCAGCCTCGCTGGTTGTCAGTAGTCTCCCTCAGGATAGAATACATAAAGATAGATATTTACATCTGGGCGTATTCATATCTAGCCATTTCAGTTGCATAGGCATCATTTTATTAGACTTATCTATTGGTAAAGCATACACAAAGGTTTACATTGAGGGTAGACAATGAAGAAATGGTGCCAAAGAATCTGAAGTGGGGAGCTCATAGACCCCGGAATGAACCTACTACTGCTATTTTACTACATGTGAATAGTCTCTCAAACTGCCTTCCAAATGTGTATCTTTCTACCCAGAGACCAGTGCAGCTCTTGGTTCACATCAGAGAAATAGATAGCACTTCAAATGTGATCAAAAGCCACTCATGAGTGAATACATATTATATTTCTCTTTCTGGGTCTGGGCTAAATCACTCAAAATGGTGTTTTCTAGATTCATCCATTTACCCACCAATTTCAAGATGTCATTATTTTTACCACTGTGTAGTACTCCACTGTGTAAATGTACCACATTTTCTTATCCATTCTTCAGCTGAGGGGCATGTAGGTTGTTTCCAGGTTCTGGTTATTACAGATAATACTACTATGAACATGGTTGAGCACATGTCCTTGTGGTATGACTGAGCATCTTTTAGATATATACCCAACATTCATATTTCTGGGTCTTGAGAAATATGAATATATTTCTCAAGAACATATTTCTCAGATTGTTTTCTAATTTTCTGAGAAGTCACCATACTGATTTTCAAAGTGGCTGTGCAAATTTGCACTCCCACCAGCAATAAAGGAGTGTTTCCCTTGCCCCACATCCTCTCCATCTTACAGGCCACAACCCCAGAGAACCTAGACAACAAAGAGGACCCTAAGAGAGACATACATGGATCTACATAGGAAGGTGAAAAAGACAAGATCTCCTGAGTATTGGGAACATAGGAGTCATGGGATAGGGTAGAAGGGGAGAAAGGAGGAAGGGCGATGAGTGGAGAAAGGTGTATAGCTCAATAAAAACAATAAAAATGAGTTATGCTCTTGAATATTAAAGAAAAAATATGATCAAAATAATTGTGTTGCATGGATGAAATTCTCAAGGAATTGGTAAAATTATAGGGGTTTGGGGGTTTCTTGCTTGTTGTTGTTTCTTAAGAAATCCAAGATCAAAGCCAGGAAGGCTGTGGCGGCCTCCTTTGGTTCAGAAGGCACTAAGACCAGAAAATCCACCTGAGCTCTGCATTTCCATCAGCCCCCCCCCCCCCGCATCATGTCTTTTCCCAAGCCTGTAAAAAATGTCCTCCTTAGCATTTTCAGTTATAAAAAAGAAGAAAGCCGTAGACCCTTGCTAAGGGGATTCAGGTCTCAATCCTGGCTCCATGTCTATTTAGTTGGGGCAAAAATGCTACGTAATTGTTTAGCACGAAAAGCAGCTGAGCTGGTCTGTGTGGAAGAACCTGGGGCTAGCTCTCTGGACAGTTGCGTGAGAGTTCGACTATGGAAGGCTTCCTGATCAGAGGGTGGCCTTGCCCCTTTATTAAACGCATGTAAAGACCCGGGCCATGTGGAAGGGGAAAGCAGGGAAGAGAGCTACCGAGGAGTTTAGACGGATTATCTGACAAACCAATCCAGAGCCCCCACCAGGACTGACAACGGCACTTATCCTGGGGTAACACTGGGATTGACTGAGCTAGCAGATCACGCTGTTGGCTGGGGCTTGTTTAATTTTATAGAAAGCTCTGGGCTCCAAGCCCAGATGCATAACAATATGAATTATTCAGACAGCTTGGGATGAGCTGTCATAACGTTGGCAGGGGCCACTCTGGGGTGTGGAGACTGGAGATGGAAGGAATTACAGAGGAGCTGGGGTAACTGTGACACAGCATGGTGGCGTTTGTGTACTCTGTGTGGAGGGGAAGAGGGCTGCCACCATCATCGTGAGGAGACTGGGCTCATTCATGGGTGTCTGGATCCAGATACACTCAGAGGACAGACCCCAGACAGACGGCCTAGGGCTCAACTAGGAGCGGCTGGGACAGATGAATGACCCAGACATCACCGTGGGCTCTGCAGGCGTCATGAAGGCCACTGGGGCACCTGTCACATTGATCCCATTGTTGAGTTCTTTCCTGCGTGTCTGGGGTAGGATGTTTTCTGCACTGGACTCCCACATGGTGCTTCTGCTACTGGAACATATTTTGCCATCGTCTGGACTGAAAAGATAGAAGGCATCACCATGTCCTCTCCCTGCTTCTACCCTCAGCCTACTTCATCCCAAGGACCAGACACAATAAGGTTGAAATGAAGATGGGCATCAGAAGACCTGGCTAAAATCCCAGCTCTGCATGAATGGGCATAACTTAAGCCCTGACCATCTGAGAACCCGCTTCCTCCCTTTAAACATGTGAATTTTGGGCTCTGGGGAGATGGCTCCATGGGTAAAGCAGTTGGTGTACAACTGTGAGGACCAGTGTTCAGATCCCCAGCACCCAGATAAATGCCAGGTAGACTTGGCAATCCTATAATCCCAGTGCACAGGAAGTAGAGACAAGAGATTCCCAGAACCAGCAGGCTAGCTAGATTAACCATGTCAGTGAGTCCTGAATTGACAGACTCTGCTTCCATGCACAAAGTACAAGGCAATCGAGGAAGACAGGCACCGTCAACCTCAGACTTTCCAATGTATGTGCCTACATATGTAGCTACACACACACATGAGCCTACACACATGCAAACATGCATACACACATACACACCACAAAATACACACATACACACCAAGAATGTAGCAGTTATAACTCTTAACATATCTGAGGACGGCTGATTCATCAATGAGGTAGCAAGCAGAAAGTACAACACAGTGCTTCGGTCGCTAATGAAAGACACGGAGGCCTAGGGAGTAGGCAGTGGGGAGAAGAGGAGGAGTGGGAAGCAAGGAAGGTAAAAGGGAGCGAAGAGCACCACTGCTGGGAGACAGTTCACAACACACAAGGCCATGTCACCTTTAATAAACAGCCTAGTTAATCTTATTGGTTCCCATGTCTCAGCTCCCCACTTATGCAACTGGAGTGGGTGCAGTCTTCTGTACAGGACTTTGAGAAGGCTTACACAAACACTCAGAACATTATCAGGCACATAGTCAATACTATCGGAATTGTTTTGTTTTTAATACTGATGTTACTATACCTATCATCATCACCACCACCATCATCATCATCATCATCATCATCATCATCACAGTGACCGTTTCCAGCTTTAGAAAACTCAGGCTCCAAGTTTCCCCAATTCCCATCAAGACCTCCCAGTCCTTACTTTCACCAGCCTCACACCCAGGGAAAGTTAATCATTCATTGTGTAATGCACCAGAAGCCAAGACAGAAGAAATGACGATTGAGACGGAGATGGCGTTGTTGGAGCAGGGACTTGGCCCTGTCAGGAGGGACCCTAAGTTTTAAGCAATGAAGCTGGTGAAAAGCAGAGAACAGAGGTAGGAGGAGCTGGTTTCAGCTGTGGGTCATATGTGACAGATGCTCATCTCAGGGATGGGTGGGGATCAAATACCATAGCTATCCCAAAAACTACCAGTCCAGGGCCTGGCACATGAGGAACAGCCAGGATACAGTACATTTGAACATTTTTTTTAATGTTTTAGTCACTACTGTTCATCTTGGAGAGGCTATGGTGGGATATAGCTCCAAGCATTATGATAAGATTTGAAATTTCTAGTCAAGGCTGTTGCCCAGAGTTGTGTGGGTAGCTGGGGGCAGGGAGACAAGGAGAGGTGAGGAAATGGAGGAAGCAGTGACCAAATGAGGAAAACAGTTCACCATGGCCGTCTGTTCAGACTGGAGTTTGACAAGATGAGAACTGCAGGCTTCCTGTTCCACCAGGAAGGCCAGACACTGTGGTGGAGTAAGGAAGTCTCTTAAAATCCCACAGTTCACAAAGGCAGGGCTGACGGTACCAGGCCTGGCCAGCCTCCTTCTATGAGCAGGGCTAGTATGAGAACTGCCTATGGTTCTTGCCCAGGCCTTCCTCCCCTGCCCTCTCCCCTCCCAGGCCTCTCTCCCCTTCCCTTTCCCCTCCCAGGCTTTCCTCTCCTGCCCTCTCCCCTCCCAGGTCTCTCTCCCCTGCCCTTTCCCCCCAGGCCTTCCTCCCCTGCCCTCTCCCCTCCCAGGTCTCTCTCCCTTGCCCTTTCCCCTCCCACCCTCCCCCCCCCCCCCCCCCCCCCCCC